CAGCATTCATGTCCCCTGCAGATTTCTTTGCTTTGGTGCAGGAAAATGACTTTCTGACAGGGAAGCAAAGGGAAGCCACAAGAGCAGTCATGCAACTCTCCCCAGAAGTACGTTCTGGATGCCCAGAGCAGCTGACAGAGAGGTAAATCACTGTGGGGCAGAACTGGGGAAAACCTGGCTGGTTGCTCCTACCCTGTGCCAGGCTCAGCTGCTAGTCCCGGCTGGGCTGGAGAGGACAGGACTTCCTCTTCTCCTGCGTGGCATCCGGGGCCGGGTCAGACCCACCCCCAGATTTCTCCCCAGGCTGCAGGAAGTTCTGCAAACTCCCCCCACCACCACCCCGCTTCTTGCACCCATCGCTCCTCAGCTGCAGTGGGTGGGATAGCTGTATAGGGAGCTGCTCCCCCATCCACCTAACTACGTGCATCCGGAGCCTCCTGCCAAGCCTCACCCCCCTGCACCTGGACCACCCAGACAAGCCACCTGCACCCAGATCCCCACCCCACTGAGCCCCACTCCCCCAGCATCTGGGGCCCCCACAAAACCCCCACACACCCAGACCCCCCTGCTGAGCTCTATCCCCCCCACACCTAGACCCTCCCACCCCCTGCTGAGCCCCAATCACCTTTACCTGGACCCCCCTGCAGAGTCCCATTACTATTGCACCCAGAACCCCCCCAACAAGCCCCTGTGTATCCAGATTCCCCCTGTACCCCCCACTGAGCTGCCTGCACCCAGATTGCCCCACACAGAACCTTCTCAGCTCACACCTGGATCCCCCCACACTAAGCCCCTCCACACTTGGATTCTGCCGGGCTGAGCCTGCCTGCCCACACCTAGTGCACCTGGCACAGAGGGACAGGGCCCTGGGGTATTTCTGGGGCAGGCCCAGTCCTTGCGCCATGTCAGGGTTGAGTGCAGCCTCACTACTGAGTCCGTGTCCTTGGGGGGGAGCTGCAGAGTTATCTCCCACCTCTGTGCAGCCAGTGGCCTGTGCTCCCCAGTGCCATGCTGGAGCCTCCGCATTTATTTGACAAATAAAATTTGCAAAATTTTAAAATATTGTGCACACAATTTTTAGTGTTTTGGAACAGAATGCCCTCAGGAGTAATTTTTCAAAGATGACACCAGTTTGATTGTCAAGAAAATGTCAAATGCGTGTTTTTCATTAGGTGACACTTTCATCCATGTTCAGACATTTCTGGAGGAAAAAAAGTGTCTCATGTTTACCTCCATTTATTTATACTTAAAAAAAGATTAGAGAGTATTTTTTTAATGTGCAAATTATACAGTCAAAATGAAATGGTTTTCTTTTGCACCCATATTGGACACAGGAGCATCATATTTAAGTCAGCTTGTGGACACTTCTGTTTAGGCTGAAATTTTCATGCTGAGAGTCTGCCTCAGGCTGACTTTTTTTTTTTTTTTTTTTTTTTAAATTTCAGCCAAAATGATCCAGCCATGTCTGAGAGGGAGACTAGGAAAAATACATTATTGTACACATTAAAACATTCTGGAGACCTTTTCTGAACAGGTCTAGTGCCCCCATGCTTTGAAGCATGCTTTGGAGCAGGGATTTAAAATTTGGCATTGGGTGGGATTTTTGCATTATGGAAGTGCTTTTTGCAGTCCCTGTGAAAATCCACCTATATTTGGTTAAGTTAAAAGCCTTTGTAAAAATCAGTTTACACATGCTCAGGAAAGATTTCCTATATTTTAGCAATTCAATTCACTAAAGATCCCATCCACACTGAACATGCTCCAGTCTGGGGCTGGGCACCTGAATGGAGAGCAGGGAGCCTGTCTCTTCTGTATTCTTAATGCCCCCTTGCTGAGCTCAATCAAAGTGGAGAAGGGAGCTGCCTGATTCGAATGCAGAGGGAACAAGGGAGGAACCTGAGTTGTGGATAGGACTGGGGTGTGGCAGGGAGGGGGAGAAGGAAACCAGCACTGGATCACTGACATGAAGCCAGGTGTGGAGACTGGAACTGGAAGCTGGGGGTGGGAATGAGGAGTTGGGAGACTGTGAACCAGTAAAGTGGAAGGAGGGAAGACCGAGATCAGATAAGAGCCATGGGCAGGGATTGGGAGTAGGATGAGAAGCCCAAGGAGTGGAGGAGACTGGGACTAGCTAGGGGAAGAGAATGGGACTGAGATGAGAAGCCTAAGGTGGGGGAGACACAGAACTAGGGCCTTGGCTACACTCAGGACTTCCCAGCGCTGCGAGTGTAGTCGCGCCGCCAGCGCTGTGAGAGCTCTCGCAGCGCTGTAAGTACTCCACCTCTCTGAGGGGAATAGCTTGCAGCGCTGCGAGCGAGCGTGCAGCACTGCAGGCTCTGATTACACTGG